CCATAACTTTTTCATTATTCAATGAAATTTGGCAAGTATGGTTTTACTTTTCTTGCAATGGCATAAACTTTCTAAATCTTACAAGATAAGTTGTAAAAGAACTGAAATTTACATGGGTAGAATCCATCATCATGTCATATTCAGTCAATCGTACAGGTGTGTTCTCTTAACTGGTCATTTAACTTTCTTATTTTTCAATGAAATTTGGCAGGTATGGTTTTATTTTTCTTGCAATGGCATAATCTTTCTAAATCTCACATGATGAAATGTAAGAAAACTGAAATGTACATGGGGAGAATCCATCACCAGGTTATATTCAGTCGATCGTACCAGTGTGTTGACTCTTAAATGGTCATAAGTTTTTCCTTTTCAATGAAATTTGGCAAGAATTGTTTTATTTTTCTTGTAAAAGCATGAACTTTCTAAATCAAAAATTATAAATTGCAAAATAAGGACTGAAATTTTCCTAGGAAGATTATCCTCAAACAGTCATATATACTGGTGAGTTCTCATAAAGGCAGTTTATAGTATGGTATAATATTTTTTTTATGGATAGGGGTGTTTTTAAACCTTAAAAAATAATCCAATATTTTAATACTTGAGAAACCTTTTTACTACTTATTTTAAAATTATTAAAATCCCTAACACAGGTAAAGTTTGACACCTAGGGTATTCCACTGTGCATCCATTCAGGTAAACTGCTAGCTCCAAGGTATTCACACCTGTATAAAATTAGCCCCTCCCACACCTGGAATAACCTGGTAAAAATTCTCTGTCTTTAAATGACCATATCTTTTTTTTTTCAATGATATTTAGCCAATTTGGAATAAATTTCTTGTATTTAGTAATTCTAACTTTATCAAAGTATATGTTGATATATATATTTTTGAAATATTTAAGGAAATGAGAGACTGTTTTCTACTCAAGGCTATAAGTTTTAAAAATTTAAATAAATTATTGAAAAACGGAGGAGCTTTATAGCTGCCTTATAGACATAATTAATATTCAAAAATAAATATTAGATTTTATATAGTCAGTCCATACCTGTTTCATTGTATGAATTTATTAGAGTCCTTGATCATGCTGACCGGTGAAACCTTGAAGGCTATAGGTCTTTTCTTTCATTTTATTGCATGTAAATTTGATTGGTGTGGTATTTTTATTCCATAACACCTTCCAAACGCTACCATGATTAAAAATTCATTTACCATGTTTACACAGTAAAAAAAAAAGTCTTTACAGTACACATTAGACCCTAATAATCTACACAATGAAGTGATGCAGAAGACCACATGAAAGTGACATTTCAGTTGTATTCATTGTTGTGGCTTTGTTGTTAAATATATAAGAAATTAATTAAACCATTAAAATTCAATTGTTTGTAGTTTGTATGTAGTCATCTGTCCATCTGTCAGTTGAATTGTTAAATCATGATCCCAAGGGGTATTGTGGGGCCACAATATCAGTGAAAACATAGAGGGGAAAAGGTTAAGAAATGTTTTTCCTAAGTGGTAGATTGGGGCCAAACTTTTCAAACTTTCCAAACTGAATTCCTACCCAAAGTGCTCCAGTGAGCAATGTGGTCCATGGACCTTTTTTTTTTTTTTTCTTTTTTTTTTACATTGCTTTAAAAGATAAAATATACATGGGGTATATCAAAGTATTACCACAATTTTAAAATCTGTACTTTGTCATGATTATTGTAATGATCATTCAAACATATAATCAGGTAATAATTGGTCCTATTTGCATGTTATATGCAATATAACACTTTTATAGCTTTTTTCAGAGGAATTAATAAATTCAAATCATAAAAAAGAGATGAAAGAAGACGAACTGGTTTTTTTTAATCACTTTAAAGAAAGCATTTTTCTGGTTTAGGATTGAGAAGCTACTACATTTACAGATTATTTAGAATGGGATATAATGGGATTTATTCCCAAATCAGGGCCAGTGGGCATAAACATCTATAAGTATAATATACTTAACTTTTGTCAGTATAGCGGAAAAACAAATTCCGGATAAATTTAACAGTTTAGTCTTTGAATTTTACGCTATTTGTCAGAGTCACCCATATGTTTCTTGGAGTAAGACTTATACATAGGGAAAGAAAAAGATGTGGGTGACAATGGTGCCAAAATGAGGAATTTATCAAGGAAAGAAGTATCACAAGTTATGATTTGATCTGGTCTCTTTCAATCAATTTCAAAAACATTCTTTGAAAAGTAGAGAAGTTTTTGTCTTTGTTTGAATCAAGTCCATTATGCTACAAACAGCAGAGCTCAAACTAAACTACATGTAAGTAGAACAACTATCATTACTATGTGATTCACGATCAACTCACAACAGTGTTCAATAACAGGTCACAGGACTGAGGAGTCGGCAGTTTTATCAGTAAAATAGTGAAAACAATAACCTGTGAGCTACGCTAGCGTAAACAAAGTCACGTTATTTCTTACATTGTTTTTTCTGATAAAATTGCCTGTACCGCCTCCAATGTCTTTTTTCATATTCATTTTTTTCCCCCACTTGGAATATTAGATTAACTTTCCAACTTTTAATCCGTATTTGTTTACTTTTTCACTTATGGGTCAGTCAAAAAAAAAAAAATTATTTCCCTTCTTATCATGCTTATGCCATGTCTAATTTACATATGCAGTGATAAAATGTATTATACTATATCAATGAATTTGAAAAAAAAAATTAATTAGTTAAATTGTTACAAAGTTGATAAAAAATGTACATGTATTGTACTTAATTTATGTTGCAACTCCAAACAATATTTATTTTATAATTCTTACTTAATAATTACAAGCATTAAGAGAAATAATGTGGGTTTTTTTACCCCACATAAAAAAATATGGGAAAATAAACCCCACATTTTATTTTTAGTGAAATGTGGGTTAAGAAACCCCACGAAAAATAATGTGGGTTATTTAACCCCATGGGGTGAAAAATAAACCCCATGGGGTTTTTGTGGGGTTTTTTGTGGGGTATTTTTAAGTTCATGTTTCCCCATGGGATTTTTTTTTTGAACTCAAATATCTCAAAAACTAGCAGAAAATGTTGAATTTTTTTTTTCATAAATCAATTTGATTATAAAAACCCCACCATTTAAAAAAAACCCTAAGATGATAGCTTTAAAGGAAAAGGGTGCGCAAGTTCGGAAAAATGTCCATTCCGAAGTTGTCCGTCCCACTGTTATATGCATTGTAGCGCACCGAGCAGGTTGACAATAGACATAACCAAAGAAAGGGAGAGAAAGGGACTAAATATATATATATATATATATATATATATATATATGTAACTCACAACAACAATTGTTTTGATACATGTAACCTTTTTTCTAAAGAGTCTTTGACATAAACATTTTTACTAGACACCGATTTCCATCGCCCGTGCCTTTGTAAACACCTTTCATTAACACCAACATTTGCAGCAGCAGTTGCACCCCCTGATCTGAGAGAATGGAGACCAATATTTAAATTTGGAGCTACCGTTTTTAAAAGAGTAACAATATTTTGCTTTGCTGCAGTATAACTAAGCTTCTTGTTTTTAAATATCAATTTTGAAAAACCATTACTTCTGAAAGCGGGCTTAAAAAGAAAATGATCAGAACATAAATCAATTTCCGCCTCTTTTGTATAACGTAGAAACATAGCATATGGACAAGCACTTGTGATACCTTTTGCAATAAGTACTTCATTTCCATCTCTATATTGATCGTTTTTGCATTTTTCAATAAAAATTTTTAAATAATTTTCTTCAACAGTGATATTATTACATTTCAGAGAACTCAGTTCATCAAATCTCAAAAAACCAGCAAAAGCTATCAAAATCATAGATAAATTTCTCAATAAAAGAACATCTGTACTGTCAGTATACAAATCACACAAATCTTGTAACATCTGCCGGTCGACTGGATCTTTCCTGCGCACCGGTCTACCAGTTAAACGTTTTGCTGATTCTTGTAACGATTTCACAAAAGAATTTTCGGTAGGATCTGAATAACCACTAATTTCATGCATCCATTTGATCGAATAAATAGCACTATTCACTGTAGAATACGACGCACCAGAATCTAGCAAATAAGTAATATACAAGGCAACGTGCACCGGCTGCGCTGGAATTTCACTTTGCTCATGCTCATTTATGAACTTCTTCCATCGTTGAAAACTATGTTTGTATGCCTTGTTGGTACCGTCACTCTTCGATGATAAAAGATATCCACACATATGCTCAGTAAAAGATCCCAACTTGCTGCCCAATGAAATGCCACTCTCAGTAACTGCTTTGTTTACATGTAACTGCACTCCTAATCCTGGAAAAAATACTTAGTGCCATTAGAATACATATATTAAATAATCTTGCACACTTACTGTCAATTTTAAAATTGAATCCTCAATACCAACATCTTAAATTTCAATGGAAATTTTGCAAATACTGATTTGTTACTCTTGCCATGCGTTATTAATTTTTCATTAAGTAAATAATCATAATATTTTACAAAATGTTTGAAACAGTTTCCTTCAAATATCAAAGGCCAATATGGAGATGACTTCCACTCTGGAATAATCAACGTACCCGAGGCCTTCTCTGCAACCATTTTGTTAATAACTCTAGGTATAAAAATGGGCGGGGGAACTAACCAGTTATTTTCACTTACCCATACCTGTGTAAAAGCATCAATTGCCTCTGTACCAGGACACCAATATTTTGAATTAAATCTTTCACATTTTTTATTGTAATGAGTTGCAAATCTGTCAACAGTATGAACTCCCCACAATTTCTCATAAATGTCAAATACCTCATCCCGAACTGACCAATCGTCCATGTCAGTTACACGGCTCAAAAAATCTGCCCTTTTGTTTTCAGTTCTAGGCTTCCATACATTGCAAACCCGAATACTGTTTTCACAGCAAGTATCAAATATTTGATTTGCAATAATTTGTAAATATGGTTTTTTGCTCCCAACTTGCATAATTTTTGAAACGTTTTTACTGTCCGAAATTACATTTAACTGAGTTTTCAATGATGACTTTACTTTTCATAACCCTTTTAACAGTTTCAAGTTCTCTCCATGTTGAGCTTTGTATTGCTTCTTCTTCTGTCCAATTTCCAACTACACTACCCATAAACACATTTTCATCTCTGTCATTCAAACTTTCAAAATAGCCACCAAAGCCTACATCTGAGGCATCGCAATATAAATACAAATTGCATACATCTGATGCGCTTACCAAATCAATTGAACAACCATTTTCTTCAATGTTGACACACTTTTTCGCCAAACTTCAATTTCTTTCAAAGCTTCCGCACTTATTTTTACCTGAGATTCCCAGCTAGCTTTGCTTGATATACAGTAATATAAATATCTTGTTTTCATTCTAACTATATCACCGAAAACCACTTTCATGGATATTACTTGACCAACAATTTTAGCCAAAAATTTTACATGAAAATAAAATACATTTTTCTGTACCTCGCAATGTAAAGCGTCTAAACAAGAATTTAAACGTTGAATTCTGTCACCACTGATATAAACTTGACCTTTTTCTGTATTCCACTGGAGACCTAACCATAAACAATTTTGACATGGAACCCAATTACATTTTTCTTCTGCAAACAAGAAACCCAAATTTTGAAAAAGATTCTTTATTGAATTACTTGCCTTTGATGCCTCATCAAAATTTCTGCCTGCAGCTATACCGTCATCTAGAAATGTTATAATTTTTATACCTTCTGACCTTAAGCGTTTCACAGGCTCTCTAAGAACTTTAGAAAATATGTACCCTGCTGTTGAAATGCCAAAAGGTAGTACATTAAAAACAAAATAAGACACTTTTCCATTTTCTTTCCATGAAAACCCTAAATATTGTCGATGTTCCTCGCATATTTCTAAATGGTGATAAGCTGATTTTAGGTCAAAAGAAAACATGAAATCTCCTATCTTAAGCATTTCCTTTGCTGTTATAGCATCTTCGTATCTAAACTTAAATTTGTGTAAATGAGGATTAATATGCCTACAATCAAGCACTAACCTTGGCTTACCGCTTTTATTTTTAGCCACAGTCAAAGGATTTACAACTGTAGGTTTTTCAGACACTCGTGACACGCACCCTTTTTCTACCAAATTTTTGATCTCACCTGTAACGAAATCTGGCTCATCTCTCGCTGACCTATTGTTGTTCAATTCAATAGCCACAGGATTAGTTTTGAATGGAATTCTATAACCTGTCTTTATAACATCTAGGACTGTTTTACCTGTTCCAATTTTCTCCCACTCGTCATAGTGTGATCTTAAGCGACCAACTGGAGATTTTTTATTTTTCATATCAACAAAATGTGCAAATTTTGAAATAGATAAAACATTATCTAAGTTTTCACTTATCTTGTATGACTTGTCATCTTTCTTTGTGCAATCTCGGCTCCAGTGCCCTTTTGCCCCACAGTCAAAACATCTGCCGGGTTTTCCACTGCCTGTTGACTTCTCGTCAGTCTCCATGCGAGTAACCGTTGCCGGTTTCTTTTGATAAGGCTCGAACCTAGATCTCTTCTTCCCGTTGAAAACTTTTCTCTCTGCCCTCATCTGCGCTCTGTACATCTTTTTCTCATCGTCTGAATCGTCTGCTATCGGATTGGCTTCATACTCTTGAACCACTCTCCAACCAAGCTGCGACGAATCTGCTAACTTAATGACTTTTTGGCGATTTTTAACCAGCTCAATACCTTCATTTATGCTGCTTTTGGCTAAATCTACACCGTCATCGCTGTTCAAATGTTCCCTTGCTTCCTTCAGTTTTGTTAGCACTTTTGCCTCATGTTTATATTGATTCTCGTTTCCTTTTTTCCGGAAAACATAATGTTCATTAAGATTTTCTTCTATTTTACTTATCTGGGAAGTTGAAATTTGTTGAATATTCTGCTGAAACGCCGTCAGACGACTGTCCATCATATCTTTCAGATTGTCCAATAATTCCGACTGTTGACGCGACACAACTCGATTAACTTCTTCAGAAATTGCACCCTGTATCTGCCTGGCGTCCATGACCGAAAACACGACTTGCTCGGGAAAGCGTGCGCTAGAAAGTGAACTCTTACTAACCACCCGTAGATACAACCGAACACGTTTTCTCAATACTGACATTTCATTGGCTGAAACCTACATAACAATTTTACCTTAGTAACACCACACTTTCGTATTCGTTTACATGTCGTCAGGACAATTATTTTTCGCTATACTTCGTAACGCGAAAAAATGTAATTAGTTACCGTTTTATGGTTTAGTTCGACTATTCTACTCGGCGAGCAGGGTTTTGACGCTTTACGGAGATAAACGAAAACAAAGACATACATGCCGCATATGGTTGTGTAGATAAATTATCGTAGAAGACAATGGTAATAAACATATTGCCATTGCATTTCCTCTGAAATTTTAAATGAGTGCGTTTCTGAGGAGGGGGTACTGAGCGTAATTCGGAGTTAGATACCTTTTTTTTATTATTACATGTATACTTTAAATTAAAAATTTATTTTCGAAACAAGTGCCTGTGCCCCAGGGTCAGGGGTTCTGAAGTTAGGGCGGGGCTATTTAGAGATTATATAGAGAAAATGCATTATTTCTTTGAAAATCTGTGCTCCCGGGTATTAGATAAACTAACCAAGTACATAGTTATATTGAATAAGGCTGCCTCTTTCAAATTTGAGAATTTTGTGACCCCTGGGTCAGGGATTCTGGTGTTAGGGAGGGGCTCTTATAATGAAAATGCAAAAATTCTTTGAATATCTTCATCTCTGCTTCCTGGGCATTAAATTAACTAACCAAGTACAAAGTTATGATGAGCAAGAATGTCCCTTCCAAAACTGTGAATTTCATGGCCCCTGGGTCAGGGGTTCTGGTGTTAGGGCTGGACTCTATTGATTATATAGTGAAATGCATGAATTCTTTGAAAATCTATTCCTTTGCTCATAGATATTATGCCAATGATCTAAGTACATATTTATGACGAAGAAAGGTTCCCTTCCCAAACTGATGAATTTCATGGCCCCTGGGTCAGAGGTACTGGGGGGGGGGAGGGTTACTGAGTTTGAAAATAGATTAATGCTTTGAAATCTGATCTTTGGTATTAATCAATCATTTCTGATAAATAAAATTTATAATATTTTAAAATATGTTTCTCTAGGGTTACTGGTTCCTGTGGGGTGGTGTGCACAACTGGTGGTTTTAAAGTGGAAATGTATTTACTCTTTGTTACTCTGATCTACCTCTCGGTATTAAGTAACCAAAGTAAGCATGTTAAGTGTATGATTTTGATAAAAAATGGTGCCTCTTTCAAAATTGTGAATTTTATGGCTTTTGGTTTAAAACACGAACCAAATTTAATTGCTGAAAAAAATGTTACATGACGCTCAGGTGACCTATAAGGCCCGTGAGCCTCTTGTTTTTGAAAAGCGAACAATCTAAATTTAAAAAACTAAATTTCCAGTCCCATTGTCTGTGTTTCAATAAAATTTCTTTAAAGATTTAAAATAAAATTGTAATCTTAAAGAACACTCGTGCAAAAAAAACAAAGATTCTCTTAAAAAAAAAAATACCGGAATATCAATCCTAAACAAACCACTATTATACATGTTATAGGGCAACATCTGTAACAGAATTGGATCTGGATTCAAAGCCCGACAAATTACGTTATCTAGTTATCTAGTCACCAATTAGAAAGAAGCATAAGGGGTTATTTTGTGAGCAAAGATGAATATGGCAATGTTTAATCCAAGGGCGATAACAGGAGGTTCAGTTCTTGGTACATAAATTTATCAAAAATTAACGTATTATTGAAATAAAATATTTATAATAAGCTTAATAATATATATTACTTATATATATCCAAAGTCTCTTTTTATCAATAGAATAATTTTTTTTATTTTACTTAAAAATACATAGAGAATAATTTTTAAGCAGAAAACACAAAAGATTTTTAGGTAATCTGCTTACTGCTGTTGTTTAGCTGCCCCCGAACATGGATTGTGAGAATGATTTCATATTCGACGGTTTGTGTACCAAACTTGTTCAAATATATTACTTAACAGTCTCCAACTGAATTTTTATTGATTTTTTTTTACAGAAATTGATTTGCTTGAAATAACAAATTCTAAAGAGCAACGAATGCTAGAAAAGGTTTTTACAAGCGAAACAAGGAAATTATCAATGAACCTGAAGTAGTTGATGTACCTGCAGACTTACGTAACATTCCATTACCGTTAAAGTATGAAGGAAAAAAAAACCAGAAACGTAAATTTCAGCCAGCTCCAGTAATCAATTTTCATGGAATAACCGTAATATTCCAGTATCATTATTATTGAACCTGCATATTACCTACATGAGTTAAAATTTTTAAAAAATCATAACTTGTCTCATTTTGGAACTCATAAAAATCTCTTCAAGCTTTAGAATATTAATTTAAATTTACATGTACCACACATCTTTTCGGATGACTATACTAGAATATTTTAGATTGTTATCAATTAAATTTTAAAAGACATGAAGCAAATACCACATGACTTCTCTGATGACAATACCAGAATATTTGCCCCTCGATGACAGGAAAGCCCTGGAGTGTTTTGTCACCCGATGCCGAACAGGCATGTCAGTCTCGAGGCCGTGTCATATACCTATAATATTCTGTACATTGGTAATGTTTTATCATGGTTACCCAAAAAATTTAATTTCTAAAAAAAAAAATAAATAATATGCACTCTATTTCCTATTCAATTTCAAAGACTTTACAAAATGTAATTTGTTCGATGATGCAAAAGTTTATGACTGGAATAATAGTGTTACCATTGTTCAAAAAAAAAATCTCGATTTTAAATATTGGTTTGATGGATTTTTTAACAGAAGTAGACGAAGTAAAGAAACATGTTTCGTTGATTATATGTAGTAACCAGAAGAGAAAATTCCGTCATTCATCACTTAGTATACATGTACAAGATCTTTTAAACTGAGGCCTATATATTAAAAATATTTTCGACGCACAGAAATGTATTTCGGGACTCCAGCCAGTCAGGTTAGTATCTACATATCGTATCTTGTTAATTATTAAAAGAAATACTCAAGTAGTTTTACAGACTTATGCTCAAGTAATTTTAATTTTTTTAAATGTTGGCGAGCCATGTTCAGTTTTATTTTGGTTTGTTTGAAAATTGTTTTACACCACTATTTGAAGTAAAAACCTATAAAACTTTGATTATATCCTGTATTTTGTAAAATCATCCAATTTTTATTCTATCATGCACAATAGCATTCCACATCTCACGAATCTGACCACGCATTGACAGCATGGCAAGATATTTACAATTTCTCCCAAACTTTCTGTAACACTCAAGAGCTTCGGAATGAAATAAAGTCAGGTATTCTTCCATTTGTTTATACTTCACATTGTCGACTCGAGAAGAGAGAATTCCAAAAAGGTATACGTCATCCACCCAGAAAAATGGCGCCGTCATGGCGGCCTTATACAAGGCTGGAATAAGATCCGTGGAAATAAATACAGCAAATCCACTGCAATAAGTGTAAGGAAAGAGGCTATAGCCTTTGAAAAAAATATCGCTTACAAACCATTTGTTGTTTCTATCACGTTCAATTCTCATGTAGTCTTTTGGCCACACATTACAAAAAAGAAACTTCTTTTCCTTTCTCAGGTAGATAAAATTTGTGAAGAACTTGTAAAGGTTAATGACAGAGTCATCGTCAATCTTGATAATGATTTCTGCATTCATACAATTTTCGGTGATCCATTTGAACCCCAAAACCCCTTTGTTTGTTAAATTCCTATAAGTGTCCATAAAATCTCCCTGAATAATATCATTAAATTTTTCACTCTCTTGCGATAATTTTTCTTGGTCACTCTCCTTTTTTGTTGTACCAACTAGAAATATCACACGAACAGTTTCAGGTTTGTACTGGGTAATATTAAGCCATGTAGCTCTCATCTCTTCTCTTGCTTCAAAATGACCAATGGCGGTATGTACCATAATCAGTGCCGATATTCTGGTATGATTTCGACATATATTTCTGTTGTTTTTTATATATCTTCCATATAATGTTAAAGGATATTTTGTTTTCAATTTGACTATCCTTTTTGTATCCTTTAAGGTTAAATTGTTACTCATATTGAAGCTTTTCAAATACATTCGGTCTCTTGTTTCAAATTTTGTGTATGTATACAAAAGCATTGAAACACTTGAAAGAGATAAACATATCATGAAATTGCAAAATCGTTGCATTCTGCTCTTGTATATACGTCCTTTGGAAAAAAAATCTTTGCCTTTATTCGAATATTGAAATTCAACACACTTCAAAGAAAATCAACAAATTCTCCTTGTAAAATTATACTACACACTTCCAATGATACCGAATATTTATCCTGTTTCATAAATTTAGTCCGAATATAAAAAAAAATGAGTAGACTTTCTGTCAAAATGATAAAAATCAATTGTGATCTTAAAGAACTAATATAACATGTTCACATATTTTTGAGCACATACAAAATATTTTTTTGGAAAACCAACGTGTATATTATGATATCAATACAGCGTTTCTTTATTTAATTAACATTATTATATCCAACCGACTTGGCGCGACGTCTGCTGATCGTCCCATCTGATGAACAGCACTGCTTACAAAACATATCTTACACTGCGCTTCAAATGATATTTTTATTACAACTGTATCAGCATGCTTGTTACAAAAAGTCTATCGGCATTGTAGATCGTAACTGACGTGAATCGAAGAGAAATAATAAATATCGATTAACTTAAAGGGAGTTGTAAAGATAATATCAATGGAGTATATGGAGATAAGTAAGATAACGAACAGTTTTCAAGCTAAAAAGTCCATAAAACAATACAATACGGTTGCACAGCAAAACTGTAGTCCGAAAAATCTGACGTTTTCCTGGCTTTTTTTTACGATTTTGATATTTTACCTGCCGTTTTCCTGGCTTTTTTTACGATTTTGATATTTTACATGCCAGGAAATCGTAAAAAAGCCAGGAAAACGTCAGATTTTTCGGACTAAGCAAACTCGGACCTCCAAAACATCAGGATTGGGTTGCTCAAAACTCTGGTTGAGGTTAACCGCTGGTTAAATCTCTTATCCAGTGGTTAACTTTTAACTGTTGGTTAAATTCTGTTGCTCAAAATTTGTCCACTGGTTATCTTTGCTATCCAGTGGTTAAATATTGGCTAAAGTTAGCCATTCCACAGAGGTGGGTTAAGTCTCTTAACCAGTGGATAAATATGACTAAAAAATTATTATTGGTTGTAAATTTTGGGGGATAACAAAAGAAACAAAGGCTTATAGATATTTCAAACAAGAATTTAATGTTGATGAATACTTAAAAAGACATACACAGTAATTTAAAGTCAAGTTGACGTGGTTTTGTAGCAATATTAGGCAGGAGTAACATCACAGTCAGGAATATGATTGGTTTTTATGTATTCATCGTCAGCAGAAATGTTGTAAATGGGTTCTTTCAAGGATTAATCTGTTGGTATTACAGAGGATCTTATCAAGCGGCCTTCCCTCGCTGAAAAATAAATAATTATTGGTATATTTTAAATAAAAATTATAAATGAATAAAATTGTTGGTCATTTGCATATAGGTCTAATAATGAATATAGATAAATTGTTCTTTGATTACCATACATCAATATTTAAAATCAATTGAGAATTGACACCCCCCCCCCCCTCGACACACACACACTCCTTTACCCCCCCCCCCCCTTTTTTTAAGATCTTGCATTTTGTATTTGTTTTTCAAAATGATATTAGTAATCATTTCCTTGCCGATATTTTTATCTGCCTATTTTATCAAACTACCTTTCTTGTTGACTGCTGCATTAAATTAAATGTGTACCATTTCCTTTGATTTTATTATCATTTAGGCAAGGTCTAGTTGAGATAAAATGAATAAAATTATTTGTTCAAAATTAAATCTACCATTAGATTCTAAATATCTATCCATAGACTTCATGATTTTCTTTTTTGCAAAGAAAGACTTCATGTAGGCATTGAAAATTGGGGTTACCTTTTTTTAATTTGTTGGTTTAGCACCCCCCCCCCCTCCTCCACCCCCACCCACATTCAATTAGCCACTCTACTTTCACAATGCTTCCGATGCATATGCTATCAATATCTACATTAAGATTTTTTCTAATTTCTATATAGATGCTTATATTAAAAGGTGTTGTATTAAATACCCTTGGGATAATGCATTTTAGTTACACCGCAAAATTTAATTGTATGGAGCGAAATGCATTAGTGACGAACGCGCTTTATCTACATGCAAGTTGCAAATTCGACCATGACCTTTCTGTAATAATTAAAGAAATGCTACCCACTTTCAGACAGTGTTAGTACATTGTAATTCAGGATTACGTAAATACTTTGAAAGTTATTTCTTGTTTGGAAATATTTGACAAACCACTGGACTGAGATCTTTCTGTCAAGGTATGTATAAAAGCGATAATACAACAAGTGCGAATTTCCTCGAATAATAGCAGACGACGTTAACATGGTGTAAACAGTAAAGGTGTCCTGACTCCAATCAGTTATTATTTAGGTATGAAACGATACAAATTGATGTATTTGCCTCGTAATTATAGCTGTCTTGAGTAGGTATTGTCTTTAAAATATTTTCTGTAAAATTAAGATCTAACAGCTTAACGAGCATCTAGGTTTCTGCAATCATTCTATCCATCTTACCTGTGGTGCTAATCCTTTCCCATTCTAACGTTATGTGTTTACAGTTACTGCATCCTCCACTTGAATTTTCAGCAAAGAATAATCCCAGCTGACTTGTGTGTTCCTCACTTTTTGCGACTAAAGCGTTTGTTTAGTTTTGATACTGTTACATTTCGATATTTCTTCACTTCTCCACATACGGCTGTAACGTTAAAACGTCTCACTATTTACTTATTTGATATTTACCATGGTAGCCATTTTTTTTTGGTTGATAACTGGACAAGTGTAAAGCATTGTGGGATACTAACCAGTGGTTAAATCACTTAACCTGTGGTTAGTTAACCAGAGGCTAATTTTATTTTGAGCAACAAATATTTGACCAGTGGTTAGTTGGCCAGTGGATATAGAATTTAACCAATGGCTAACTTATCCAGTGGACAAATTTAACCAGTGTTTTGAGCAACCCAATCCAGAGGTGGGATCAAGTGCCATGGAGGATTTTTTTATCGTACTAAAATAAAAATTATAGATAACATAAAACATGCATTTTTAGGTCACCTGAATAAAACTCAGGTGACATATTGCTATCCGTTTTCGTCCGTCGTGTGTTAACATTTGAACATTTTTAGCTTCTTCTCTGCAACCGCTCGAGCAATTTCGACCAAATTTGGCACAAAACATTTCTGGGTAAAGGGAACAAAATTTCTGAATTTCATGGTCCCTGGCCCCTGGGGCCTGAGGGGTGGGGCCAAAACCACTAAACTTTATGCAATCTTCAAAAAAAAAAAATTCCCTACTCTTGGACATCATGCAGTCAAACTGTTGGCATGATTGTAATCAGCATTGAGTCTTCTACCAAAGTTGTGAAAATCATGGTCCCAGGTACTGAAGTTCTGGCGTTTTCATTTTCATATCTAAATAAAGTTTTGACTTTGCACATTTTGTATTAAATGTTGTTTGGTGCCAAATTAGAAAAATGAATTCTTAAAATGTAGGTCATTGCTGGAGTGTAGCATTTAAACGTGACGTTTTTGCCGTCACATTCTATTGTGACGTATAGCTACATGTAGTACATACATGTAACACGGCAATTATTATTATAACTTAAAAACTTTGAACCTCCAAACTTTGTGACACACCGTCTTAGTCAATGTCTCCACAATAAATCGGCTTAATATCAGAAACCCAACATACATATCGACACAAAATATCAGTCTAATTTAAAATATAGTTCCTTGCACACAAAAAGGATCATTGACATGCCATTTCAAAATTGATTTGGCTCATGAAATTATCTTTTTAAGTTACCGATGACATTTCACGTTCCTTCCATATTTCTTCCGATAACGCTTATCTACATCGCTGTCTTGCATTTTGAACAACGCGTTCACAGCATTCAGATTAAACAACATCACAATTGTAAAACTTTACATCATTTACATCAGATTTTGAACTTTTCTGCTAAATTTTATGTTTGTATTATTTTATGGAAATGATCAACATTTTGCTATTGCGTGTGCGACGCTCCTGTTACCGGTCTACATGCGTTTTTGATGCATATGAAAATTCGAATTAATATATTTGACAAATGGAATTTTTTTATCAATAATATATTTTTGTTAAAATATATTTAGTATACAATCACCGACCGAATGATATATAGTTTTCATATAGTGAATTGTTTTAAAATTATGGAAATAGTGCAAATGCCGCTGTAATGGTTTTTATTGACTTTTTGACACCAACACCGTTGCCGACAAAATTGGCTTCTAGATGGAGCACCAGTCATCATCCGTGTGTGCTCGGAAGGGGGCAAAGGTACCTATAAGGACATCCAACAGTCTATTTCTACCCTACTTTGCGTGAATGCTAGCGGCAGTTATATGCGTCCAAATGGTTGTTCTACGAGGGAAAGGTGCCTTTAGTTCTGGGGGTCGATGAAGCACATCCAGGATCTGCAATACCCCTTCTAAAGTTTTTGAGTCCACAACATCTACTCACTAGTGCCCTTCCGTCTCTTAACCTATTTCAGTATCATTGACAGTGATTTCTGAACCAGAGCCCATATCATCTTTGACGATTTCTACTGGCGACTCGACTCCTTCCATCACCCTCCCAGATTCCATCCCTGTATGACCCTCTAGTGTAAGCACCCAGTCGAATTTCTTTCTCCACCGAGTGTTTTACAGTGCAGGGGACTAATTTTGATACAGTATCAATGCTGATTTTGATGCTTCTTTTGCTTGCCGATTTAATGCTATTTATCCTTAACCGGATCCTTTATCTA